GTGAGAAAGCCTCGCCTCTTGTAGGCGACTGTTTTTCTCTTCTGTGTCCAGAGAAGCATGGCCAGAAGAGCTAGACTCGGAATCGTCCTCTGACGAGTCCGAAGAGGACGACTCCTCCCCTCTCCCGGAGGGGCCCGCCTCCTCTCCTTTTAAAGGAGCAGGAGAGAATGTAGAATTGTCAATTGTAAAATGGGAAGGGGTCATTTTGACTCCTCCCTCAGAACTGCCGGCTTTCAAGCCGCTTTGTTTCACTTCCACATCTGGCGCCTGGTCAGATGTTTCACTAATCGACACCCTGTGGGAGGAGCCGTCTGAGTTTGAGATCCTGGCAGTCTTTTCTGTTCTGGCCATCATGCTCTGCATAGACACAGATACAGTCGGACTTTGTATAAAGGGCAAAGATGGGTCCAGAAAAGGGCAGGCGGCACTCCTAGTCCTAGATTCAGTCGTCCCCGGTGACCGGCTGATCACTAACCTAGGTCGTGTCGAGTGCTTCCGTGGTGCCATTTCAAAAAAGAATAAAGTAAAGAGAAAATTAAGAGTAAGAGAACCGACGGTTACCTGAACGAGTGACGATTGATGAATTCTGAAAATCCTTTGCAGTCGGCTTGTCAGAGCAGGCGGTAGGCAGAAAGGGTCCAAAATGTCAGAGCAAGTTCAGGGGTCCGAATGTTCTCTCAAAGTTTTCAAGTGTGAAAATGACCGAAGTCAACACTCCTTTATATAGGCGAAGTGAGAAGGCGAAGGGTCACTTCCAGAATTCAAAATTTTGGCGGGAGAATCTCTCGGCCTCTCGCCGAGTGACACCTGTAGCAGGCCGTCGCCTGTTACAGGGCGATACCTGTCACAGGTAACACGTGACCAGTCACGTGCCACCTGTGAGGGGCAAATGATTAGGGGATTTTTCCCCACCAATCACCATCTGACAAGTGGACCAATCAGGTTCCGCCATGTGTCCGTCACATGGGCCAATAGGAGCCTGCCACGTGTCAAGCAATGATCCGTCCACTATGGACCAATTACGACACGACACGTGTCCTTCCCATGACACCTGGGATAACCGGTCACCTAGGCCCACCTTTCGAGGGAAGCCCAATCAGCCCAAGGTTAACCTAAACCTAGATTGGCACGTTTCCCGAGGTTATAAATACCTCCCTTAATCCTCATTAAGGGGGATTACGCAAAAAACACAGATTACACACATTAAACTCTTTCACCTAGAGAAACCCAATCACTTTAATTTCCGCATTATTTACTCCTTAATCAAGTACTAACTTGACCGTCGGAGGCGGATCTCCAATCATCCGGAGCATCCGTTTTTTTTGCAGGTACAGGCGCCCGGTTCCAGTCTCGGAATTGTAACTCTCCCGCAGGACATCAGAAAACCCCGAAACAGTACTCATCATTGGGTTTGGTTTTTGGGGAGACACAATCAGGTGTCTATAAGTTGATTTCAATGAGACATTTGCTCCAGTAGCTCATATTGAAACCATTAAGATATTTTTATCCATAGCTGCACAAAAAGAATTATATGTGTATCAGCTTGATGCAGTGAAAACCTCATTTCTAAGTGGTATGTTAGAAGAAGAAGTGTATGTGGAACAACCACAAGGATATAAAATTCAAGGTAAAGAAGAAAAAGTTTATCATTTACATAAAGCAAATAGGTTAAACAAGCTCCAAGAGCATGGAATAGTAGAATTGACACATATTTTATGAATAGTGGATTAAAAAAAATTCCAAGTGAACCATCACTTTACATCAAAGGAAACAATGACGGACATTTTCTCATCGTTTATCTTTATGTTGATGATCTTATCTACACTGGAAATAATGGGAAACTCATAGATGAGTTCAAAGAGTCTATGATGCAAGAGTTTGAAATGACAGACTTAGGACTCATGAAATACTTTCTTGGAATTCAAGTAACGCAAACCAAGGGAGAAATTTTCTTCAATCAGGAAAAATATACAATGGATCTCCTAAAGAAATTTCATATGGAAATTTGCAAACCTGTGAATACTCCTATGGCATTGAGTGAAAAATTAAGTTAAGATGATGGAGCTAATAAGGTCGATGCTAATGTATATAGAAGTCTGGTAGGTTCCTTACTGTACTTAACTCATACAAGACCTAACATAGCTGAAGCGATAAATATGGTGTCAAGATTTATGAATAATCCTAGCAAACTACATTTTGCTGCTCCAAAATGGATATTACGCTATCTTCAAGGTACCAAGAAACTAGGCATAAGATATCGAACTGAAGAGAATAATAAATTGTTGGATACACAGATAGTGATTGGGCTGGTTCAGTAGATGATCATAAGAGTACATCAGCTTACATATTCTGTTTAGGCACTAAAATAATATCATGGAACTTAAGGAAACAACAAACTGTAGCATTGTCTTCAGCAAACACTACTAGAATCCGGTCAAATTGCGACCGTTTTTCTACGACCGTCATTAAAACGGTCGTAAAATTAGAAATCTGCGACTTTTTTTTTTTTTTTTTACAGTCGCAGTTTTGCGACCGTTTTTTACCAATTAAACTGTCGCAAGGGTATTTGTATAATTCTTTTTAAAAACATACATGTGGAAAATAATTCAAAATAAAAATAATATAGTTGCGACCGCCAAAAACGATCGCAGATTACGTTCGTTTCACAAACAGTCGATATTTGCGACCGTTTTAGCAGTCGTAATTGTTTTATTTTTATTTATTTAAATATGGGGTATAAAAGGGGTTCCCCACTCACCCTAACCCTAATTTTTTTTTTAACTCAGCCGCTCTATCTTCTCTTCTCTTTTCTTTCTCTCTCTTCTTACGTCCCTTCATCTTCTCTTCTCTCCTCCATCTTTCCTTCTCTCCTCCCTTCATTCTCCGACTTTTATCGTCGGAAATCAGACAAAGTTCAAAGAATTAGATCGGAAATCGCACGAAGAAGCTTCGGAAATTCGATCATCGACACCAACCTTCCACCGTCACAAGCACGAGCCCACCGCCACGATCTCCACTGTCACAAGCTCATGGTTTAACAAGTTAATGGTTTTTATGGTCTAACTCGACCATGAAAAGTCTAGATCTAGACTTTTCATGGTCGAATTTGGCCTTATTAAACCAAATTCGAGGTGAAATTTGAAGTCAAATCGGGGTTTGAGGTATGTTTTCATGTTTATACTTTTTTGTTTAATTTTGTCTTCGAATTTGGTTTGATTTTTTGTTCGAATTTGGTTTGGTTTTTTTTTTTTTTTCGAATTTCCATGTTCGAATGTTGTTTTTTTTTGTTTGATTTTTGTTCATTTTGGGTTTGATTTTCGTTTTGATTTTTTGTTAATTTTGGGTTTGATTTTCGTTTTGATTTTTGTTAATTTTGGGTTTGATTTTCGTTTTGAATTTGGGTTTGATTTTTGTTAATTTTGATTTTGGGTTTGATTTTTGTGGTTTGTTTTTGGTGGGTAATTTTGTGGATTTACTTATGTGGGTTATACTTTTTGTGGGTTTTTTTTGTTAATTTTGTGGGATTTTTTTGTTAATTTTGATTTTCGTTTCGAATTTTTGTTTAATTTTTGTGGGTTTAATTTTCTGGTTTTTTGGGTTTAGGTTGGTGATGGGTAGAGGTGGTTTAGGGTGGGTGGTGGTGGTGGTGGGTACAGGTGGTTTAGGGTGTAAATGTCTACAGGCAGGGTTTCGGTGGGTACAGGTGGTTTAGGGTGTAAATGTTACAGGCTGAGTTTCGGTGGGTACAGGTGGTTTAGGGTGCTGCTGGGTTTGGTTTGTTTCAGGATTTTTTTTAAAAAGAAACTTTTAGGGACCGCCTATAACCGTCGCAAATGGTCATATTTACGACCACTACTATACCAACCGCAATTAATTATATTCGCAACTGTTTTAGTACCGATCATTGAAAATAAAGGAAACGGTCGTAATAAACCGTCAATCAGTCGTAATATTGTTTTTTTTTGCGACCACGGGAATAACGTCCACCGCTTTGCAACCGCTGACGGTCGCAATTATTTTCAGCGACCGTTTTTGCTGTTTTCACTGACAGTCGGAAAGTACAAATATCCAGATGGATTTATATTCTGTCGGAAATTTTCAACTGAATTTCGAAGGATTATTTGATTTTGTCGGAAATATCCGACGGAATTACGTGTCCGTCGGAACTCGTTCGTCGAAAATCGACCTTATTCTTGTAGTGTTTGGTTAAGAAGAATTTTAAGAGATTTGAATATTATTCAAGAAAGTCCAACAACAATATTTTGTGACAATATGTCAGCAATTGCAATGACAAAGAATCCAGTGTTCCACACTAAAAGCAAACATATTGAGAATCGACATCATTTTATACGTGACTTAGTCAGTGAAGGAGAAATAAAGCTTAAGTTTATCAAAACTGTTGATCAACCAGTAGATATGCTTACTGAAGCAATAACTTCAGAAAAGTTTGAGAAATTCAGGACGTTATTAAACATTGCAAATTAGGGGGGGGGGGATTTGTGAGATTAATTTGCAGTAAAAGAAAAATTAAAGGGGAATCTTAAAATAAAATAGTAAAAGATTTTTTTATTTCAAGGCTTAAATAATATTGATTTATCACCTCTCCTATTTTAGTTTGTAACACTATAAAAGTTGTAATAATTTTTCATACAATATAATATAAAAATGAATAACAACATAATATAATATCTTTAATTCTCTAAATCAATCTCTATTATTTTATTAAATAAAGTAGGTGCTGCACCTTTGCTTATTTCATATATCTATTTTTATATGGGTAAATATAAGTTAATCTCTGAGATTCACAAAATTTGTTTATCAGATGACAATTTTGTAAATAAATCAACAACTTTTTCCATAAAAGTGGGTCCAACAGTGATGATGACCGGATAAAGTTGTTGATTTATTTACGAAAATGTCATGTGATAAACAAATTTTATTTATCCCAGAGATTAACTGGAGCTTCCTCTTTTTATATATCTCTCCCATTATACTTTCGCTGTCTCCAACAAATCTACCCTTAATCTAAAAAGTATTACAAAGTGCAAGTAGAAAATCATGTTTATTTGATAATACTACAAAGTACAAATTAAACTTCTCCATCTAGCCGGTACCAGAAACACCCAAGTCTTGCTTATTAGGAGGGTCATCTTTACCGGCCCCGAAAACCGGACCGCCTTTACCGGCAGCATCCTCAACCTTGTCTTGAAGTTTGTCAATCTCAATCCCCTTGTCATCCTCCCAAGACCTTAGCTCGGTCCTTGGCCTACTCTTTTGCTTCTGCTCCGGCACCGACTCGTACGTCGTCGCCGTAAAAGACATAGGCGGCTGCGCTCCTTGTGCTCCTGACATTATTCTCGATCACTAGCTATATGGTTATGCAAAGAAATTGATAAAGGGTAAGGTAATAGAAAATTGTAAAGCAACGTAGCAAAGTTACAATGGTATTAGTAGTAGGCTAGCTAGTGTACGTTTAAAGAAGGTGAAATATATTGATAAGGATGCATGGAAATGATGAGATAAACATACATAAAAGGATTAATAAAGCCATTTTATAATTCAAATGCATTAGACTTTCACACGTTAGCATGTAGGTGATACTTGGCAATTCATGGTATAAAGATCGATTTTTGAGCTTTGCCACCGCATCAGTAGGCTACTGAAGCTGTGAAGATTTAGTATTACTCGCTCTCTTCAATTCGTACCAAAATAACTAACACACTAATACCTTAGATTTTTTTCGCTATTTATATTTTATCTTTAATTTAGAGGTCATCATTGGACGAGCTAGACCAAGGTCAAAAGAATAGCCAATTTCTTGGGCCGCGATCCGGGCCAAGTTTCGGGTCGGAAATTACGTACCTAAACAGACAATCCCCCGCCCAAAATGGTCAAGCCGTGTGGGCCTTTCGGGCCAGACTAAAAAAATCAACTAAATGGCATATAACGCTTTTCCAAGCTTGCCCACAAATTTTTAAAAAACGAGTCAAGCTAGCCCCGACCCAATTTTTAGCCAAAAAAAAAAAATTGCCCAAAACTCGCCCAAATTTGGGTCGAACTGACTTTGATCATTTCTACTTTGACTATAGTTTTTTATTTTTTTATTATTTTTGTGCAAACTATATTTTTTACTAAAATAATAAAAACATATTTTATAATAAAATATGTTGTTAGATACTCCCTCCATTTTAAAATTCTTATTCCATTTCTCCATGCATGGAGCTTTAGGAAAAATAAGAAAAAGTAATAAAATATAGAGATAGGGGTTGGTGGAACAATAAAAAATTGTAAAAAGCAAAAGTAGTTGAGAGAATTAGAGGAGAGAGAATATAAAATTAATAAAATATAATTCATGTTGGGTCCACTAGTTGAGATAAATGAATTAAACAATGTAAAAGTTTTCCAAATAAGGAAAGGAAAAATGGAAATTAAAAATCTAACCTTCCACCGGTCTTCTCTAAAAAATCCAACCTTTTAATTATTCCATAAAAATTCAACTTTTACCCCTATCTTCATCTAAAAATCCATTATCTGTTGGTGACCGATTTTTGTAAGTTATATGCCACATGTCAGCTTTTAATAGGTCTTTTATTTTTTTAATAATTAAAAAAAATAATTAAAAGAAAAAAAAATCAAAGCCCCTAAACCCCCCTTTTACGGCCTAAATGACCATCCTGCGTCGCCGTTTCGATCGAAACTTCCCACCCCCTTCCCCTCCCCATCCCCACCTCTCCTTCCCCGACAACCCAACCCACAATCACCACCGCCGTACTCGCCACAAAACCCACGAAATCCCACAAATTAGTGGCTGGTGTTGGCAGCGGTGGAGCTTGCAGTGTTGTGAGGGCTGCTCTGTTGCCGCTACAATCGCTGATTGCCGCTGCTGCTTCGGTTGTGACATTGCGGTGGTGGAGTTGGTGGCTGGAATTTGATGGAAGTTGAGCAAGGGTGGGTTTTCTTGGTCGAGGTTGGGTTTTCGGGTAGTTAGGTGGTTTTCTGACGTTGGTTGAGGACAGCGAATGGTGGTTATTGCGGTGGGGAGTAGGTTTGTGGTTTACAGGGGCAACAACTGCGACTTGGGCGGTGATTGTGGGGTATTTTGGTGGGAGTGTGTGAGAGGGTGACTGCAGGTGGTTGTTGTGGGGATGCGGTGAGATTGAAGGAGTAGTGGAGCTTGATGATGACTGGTGGTGCGCGGTAGATGGCAGTAAGGAGCTACGGTTGCGGTGAGGTGAGAGTGAGGGGTTTCGGGGCGGTAGGTGGGTGGGGCTTGGGGTTTCAAGGCAGCAACACATGTGGCTGGCAACAACAAGTGGTTTTTGGGTGGTGGTTATAGTGATTGTCATGGAAGGGGGATGGAGAGGTAGGAGGGGAGTGAATTTTTAAAAAAAAAAAAAAAATCATTTTAACATGTTTAATAGGTTACAGGTCAAATGGATATTTAGATGAAGATAGGGGGTAAAGGTTGGATTTTTATAGAATAATCAAAGGGTTGGACTTTTTAAGGAAGACCAGTGAAAGGTTGGATTTTTAATTTCCATTTTTGCATAAGGAAATGGAGCAAATATTTAAAAATGGTCGGAAATGGAAAGTGGAGCAAGTATTTAAAAGCAGAGGGAGTAGATATTAGTATAAAGTTTCATAATATATGAAGTAACTATTTTTGTAAATATAATTTTTATTAATATTTAATTACATAAAAATAAGGTCAACTTAGTATTTCGTCATGTGTGCAAAATTTAACTGGCCAAAGGGAGTAAAATATTTCTCCTTCGGTTTTTTATATTATGTTATGACTGCCACATAATTTTAGGTGAAGTAATTGACTTTTTAATATAAAAAGATCTAAATAGTGTAGCCTGAGTCGGATTATTATGACATGTTTAGAAGTCTATGAAACCCATACATTTGCCATTTCCCTGATGGATTTTTTACCGTAACAATATTTTCAACCATTCCGGGAAAGTAAATGGCTCAATAAATTCGGTCGCTATTAGTTAATTCACCTTGGCAAGTTGACATGTATCGCTTCCAACTTCTTAATAGAGAAGCTTAGATAACTTAGAGCTGATCATATGCAGCCTGGCTTGGCCCAATTTTGGATGGGTTTTGGGCAGCCTTTTCCGACCCGAAACCGGGTGAACATTTTACCCTACACCCCCGTGTAGGTTGTTCTACCTGCACCCCCGTCAAAGCTATGTCGTTTTGTAGTTGGTGTAGGTAATATTCACGAGCTGGATTAATTATTATTTTCCCCCTTTTTTAATTCCTTCCTTTCTTATCATTCAAGCTATATATATATATATATATATATATATATATATATATATATATATATATATATATGATTTAAACTCTATATTTTCTCTCTCCTCAATTGATCAACTTCAATTGATTTTAATACCTACATTCTCTCTCCTCAATTTATCTTCTTCATTTGATTTTCATATTAATTTTGCAGCTTATTTTTTTACGATTTTGATACTCATTGTTGATCGATCATCAATGGCTAATTCTTCCTCTGCCGATTTTGATTGTGATTGCAAAAGTGCGTTCCCATCTGGAATTCGATTGATTGACTCGTTTGTTCATCAATGTGAGTAATTATGATCAACACTCTGTAATTCGATTCGATTGATTTTTTTATTATCAATACTCGGTTCTTATGTGAGTAATTATGCTAATTTTTTAATTTTGATTATCAATGTGATTAATCATAAATGTGATTAATCATAAATGTGAGTAATTATGTTAATTTTTGATTTTTGATTTTCAATACTATGTTCATCAATGTGAGTAATTATGATCAAAACTTTGGAATTCGATTCGATTGATATTTGATTTCATATTTTGATTATGATGATGATGAACATTTTTAGATTGCTTATATTTTTAATTTATTTCAATAATCTGTGTTTGAGAATTTCGTTTTTTAGTTTCGATTCCTTTAATTTTTTCCTTTTTTGTTTTCGTTTTAATCAGTATTATATTCTTAAATAATTAGTTATGTTTTATCATTTTGACTTATTAATTTGTTTATGTTTATTTTCAAAGTCATATATGATCATTTGTTTTTACATTTTTGTTTTATGATAATATTATGTGTTAATATTTTACAAATTGATCATATACAGTTTTGTTATTGAACATTTTATGTATTAATTATTGATCATTATGGAAACCGTTTATGTTCATTTATAATTGTATATTATAAATTTGTGCAGTGGAAAAAAAGGATGATATTGTTTATGAAGAAGTAGCTAAGTCTGAATTAATGGGCAAACAATTTAAATCTGAAGAAGAAGCTTATGAAATGTATAACGAATATGCTTTTAGGAAAGGTTTTGGAATTCGAATTGGGAAGAGTAAGAGGAGAAGTGATGATTCATTTTTGATGAAAAGATTTGTTTGTTGTAATGAGAGTTATAAAGATGATAAGTGTAGGAATAATAAGTGTTATGAGAAGTTGGATATTCGAACGGGTGGCTTAGCTTTTGTGCAGTTTCATATTGATCATTTAGGTGTTTATACATGTACAAGACATGAAATGGTGCATAATCATGATATGATTCCTGCTGAAAAGAGGCATTTGCTAAGGTCTTAAAGGGGTGTCACTAAAGACCAACTTATTTTTATTTCTACAATGAAATTGAGTGGAGACAAAGTTTTTGATTCTTTGAGGGCTTTAAAGAAGGAGGTTAGGGGTGGGGGGGTGGGGTCTCCCAACCTTTGTTTTATTGCTCCTAATGTGTATAATGCATTATCATCTGAAAAAGTTGCAAACTTGATGGATGTGATATTAACCAACTGATTAAATATTTTGCCAAGAGATATGTAGATAAGGCATATTTTTATTATGATTTTGAACAGGATGATAGTGGTGCTTTAGTTAGTTTTTTTTTTGGCGTGATGGTAGGATGATGAGAGATTATTATTACTTTGGAGATGTTTTGGTTTTTGATACAACCTATAGAACTAATAAATATGGAATGATATGTGCTCCATTTGTTGGGATGAAACATCATGATAATAATGTCATGTTTGGTATGAGTTTTATTCTTAATAAGCGCAATGAGTCTTTTGATGGGTTGTTTGATACATTTCTACACTCAATGGGAAGGAAAAGTTCCATTACAATTATGACTGATCAAGCACAAGCAATTGCAGCAAGTATAAGAAACATTTTAACTTCAACTTTCCATTATCGCTTATGTGTATGGCATCTTGAACAAAATTCAAAGAAGCACATTGCATCATTGAGAGCTTTGGAGGGCTTTATAGATTTATTCGGATATCTTCTGAAGTATTGTGAAACCCCTGCTGAATTTGAGCATTTTTGGAAAAGGTAAATTAATGTTTTTGATATTTAGTGTTTATTTGATTATGTTGTATATTTGATTATAACATAATATATATATGAACATTATGTGTTTTATATAAGATCATTTTAAAATAAAAAGATTTAATCTTTTATTAAATATGTACATTTTATTGTTTATAAGTGATTATAATATTTTGTACATTTATTGTATTATAATGGTCAAGTTGTTGTTAAACATCTTATTCTTTTAGTGTTTAAAAAATTTTGTTTATGAATATTGTTATTTATACAAATGTGCATATGTATTTGTTGTTTGTTCATTTTTTAAACCATCAATGTTCATTACTGCTATACAGAATGTTAGATAAATACAATTGTGGAAATGTTGATTTGTTATATGATTTGTATGAAATAAAGGAGATGTGGTGTCCAGCTTACTCTAAGAAGTATTGTTCTGGTGGTATTCTGTCCTCTCAACGTAGTGAAACTACTAATAAGTCAGCTTCTCAACGGCTTAACAAGACCCAAGGTTTGTGTGTTTTTTATCATGTTTTTCTTGATGTCATTTTTAAGTGGAGAAGCAAGGAAAGGTGGCAAAGATTTTAATACTTTGAGGGGTAATAGACACCTAGCTTTTGCTAATATTAGGATATTAGTTCATGCAAGATCATTGTATACTATTCAAGCTTATGTGCTTTTTAAAGAGGAGTTCATTAAGGGGACTGCTTATGATCATGTAGATTCTGGTATGCGTTTCCCTGAATATTCATATC